TGAAGATCGTTAAGTTATTAAAATAGGATAGCTACAGGACCCCCTTTCTGAAGGTGGCCTTCGGGTACAGTTCTGGATAATGTCCTTGAATTTAAAAGTCCCTTCCCCAAAAGCAGAACTGTAAGGATTTCTTTTTTTTTCCTCCGAGGTGCCAGCCAGCAGTCTGTAGTTTCTGCTCATCTTGGGCAAAATGTATATAGCTGAAAAAAAGAAAGAAAAATAATAATAAAAATTATACATGAACCTTCCCCCACTCCCCCCCCATAGAATCAGAGATCTGGACTCTGCCATTGTCGTACACAGTCTCCAGTAAAAACCCTCATGTTCACCTACTCCTTGCACCAAGTGCATTATTAACCCATAGTACAGAAGAGGGCTGCACAAAGACCAAGTTTAGGTGCATGTCACATGTTCTGCAAACAAACCTCAAATTCAGCACCTTGTCTTCCTGTCCAAATGCTTTTCTGACCACATGTTGAAAGAAAAAAGGCTGTGCTCAGCTGAGAAGCCCCTGCCCCCAAGGGCATAACTGTCTTCTAAAGAGGTCCTGGGGCTCATTCTGTACTACAGGTTAATAACGCACTAGGTGTAAGGAGCAGCTGAAAATAAGTTTTTTCACCAAAGATTATGTAGGATGGTGGCACATTGAGTCCATACCTATTATTCCTTTGAGATCTTTCTGTCAGTCTATCAATCTTGTTTTAAGCTATGCATGTTTTGTCCAAGATGAGATAAAAATGCAGATTTGCTGGCACCTTGGGGTGGGGGGAAGAGGGGAAATGAAATCCTTATGGTTTTAAAACTCTTGGTTCAGTTGGCCTAATAAAAGGTATTACCTCTAAACCAAGAGTTTTAGAGTTTTGTATTCCTCTTTGTTTCAGGCCAACATGGCTATAAAACGCATCCTTATGGTTCAGCTTTTAAAAGGTCTCACAAGTAGGTAGTTAGATTTCAGCAGAAGTTCCCTTCTGGCCTTTCCTGTCACCCTGGTTAGTTTTTGTGTAGAGATCTTTTTTTAAACCATCTTTTCTGGTATGACACCTTGGCTCTATTTAGGCCAAATGTGAAGTTTCCTGCTGATTTGAATAGAGCTGAAATTTCACCACAAGGGTCCCAGGGTGTGTCAACAAGGCAGGAAATGCCTGACATGTCTTGAGGTGTTTAATGCATCAAGTAGGTGTGAAGATCTGAATAACTAGACTTTGAACACCATGCACCCTCCTCACTTCAGGGTTGAGGGTTCATACAGAAATTACTTATAGGGAGGATGGAAAACAATTTAGTATGTTTTCCAGGTTTCCTGCTGGTCAAATGCATTAAAAAAATAAGTTGCTAAATGTATACTTAAAGGTTTTCAGAACTCGTAATAGAGATGATATCTTTTATTAGACCAACAAGATTTTTGCAAAAACATTTCTTTAATTACTTAAAGGTTTTGCATCATTTTAAAGCCTCACAGGTGAGCTGAGAGACTCCTTACCAGCTAAGAACTGCCTGCCCAGAGGAGGTTTCCATCTATTGACTCCTCTGTGAAATTCTATGAAATACCAGCTTTCATTTCTACCCAGGAAAACTTTTCCAGTCTCTTCTCCAGTGTCTGATGAAGGGTGTTTGTGCCTGAAAGCTTACAGTTAAAATTTTTTTTTTGCAAAAATCTTTTTGGTCTAATAAAAGGTATCACTTCTACCACAAGCCCCGATTACTCGAAGGCTTTTACATTCAATTCCATGTCTCCTTACTGTGGTTGCAGTGTGACTACACACAGGAGGTAGAATGTAAATGAAGAATTTGGTGACAGGGAAGAACCTTTGGAGCCCCCGAGTTCCACTCCTATGCAAACGATGAATCAAAACCTTATTTTCCTCCATGGGGAATAATTCTTGATGTGACAATTTTTTCTAATAAAAAAGAAAAGGAAAGGGTAAAATTGTTTAAAGTCTTGACTTAAGCGCTTAAGTGTGTGTCTTTCTGTGTGTCTGTCTCTTTTTGCAAAGTGGTTTATTAATCCCATTGGTTTTGAGAATGCTACACTTGAGGTCAAAATGGAGATTTGATTATGGCTCATTTTCATTCCGAGATTCTCAGACTCTTTATGATGCAATTTCCCTCCAGGTTTTTTTTTCTTTACAATTAATTAGCAAGCAGGCTGCATATCAGAAGTAATAATGGGTGAGAAAAGGGAGCTCAATTGAGAGTATTAGGTTAAAGTTAACTGCACAGCTCTTGAACTTTAAATAAACTCCCTTATGATTTATTTTTAGGCTGGGATGTGGCTCCCATGTTGAAACTTAATCAGCTGAACAAACTGGTAATAACTGTAACAGGAAGGCTGGCTGAGAGGAATTGGTCCTCATAATGTGGCATTGCTTGGATTCTGAAATCACTTCAAAATCCTTCAGATTTCACACTATCTGTAAAATATGTAATCTTGGAATAGCACATTAGTGTTAGTGTTCCCTGTCTCATCTGTTCAGTGACTTGGCTGTTGCAGCTTTCATTGACGGTAATAACAAGTAATAACCCTACAGTCCTGGGGAAGGAAAGCAGAAGAAGTATGACTGAGGGGTGTTTTGTAGCTTGGCGCAATGAACGTGTGCAAATAAATAAATCAATCTTGGACTCTGAAACTGTAACTGAATAAGGGTGCCTGCCCATCAATCTCAATTTATAAGGCATCTCCTAATGAATTGCAGTGAGAGGTTTTATTGATAAATCAACAGTTCCAATATTTATATTTTAAATATAAAATCTACATTTCTGTATTTTAAACTAGATAGGTAGTATTTTTTTCTGGCTTCCTGGTACACAGGAACAAATCCTGCCTGCATGTGATCTTCCTTCCTTCCTTGGGTTGAACTACTGCTAGTAGAAAGAAAACCCCCTAAAATCTGATATCAAACCAGATGAGAACTCTCTTGAGTGCATCTATTATTCATTATTTGCAAAACTTTTTTTGCCACTAACTCTAGATACAATATAAAACACTTGAAAACATGTAATGTCTGCAGGAAGGCTAATCCTATATAAAAATCAGATTTGGGGATTGGCCTAGCTTTAGTTGTGAAGGGTTGTCAAGGTCAAAAGGACACCCTGCAGAACTAGGGAATCTGGAATAGAAGGGGATGTATCCTAAGCTTCTAGTTAGCTGAGAGATCACTTCATGTAAAGATACTTTCAAAGAATGTTGAATGAAATGCAAGGTAATCCAACCTAACACTGGTTTGGTTGTGCTCTGGGCAGCTAGATTTCAGTGCACAAATATGAATCTAGCTTAAACTCCTGTTTGTATGAAGTGGGGCCACTTCAATAAGTTACTTTAGATTATGCCACATTTACACACTTTTAAATAGTGTCTTAGCCATTCTAGCTTTTTTTTGCAAATTGTAAGGTGGGAACAGGGTACCAAACTTGTATTGTAGGTCATTCTGATGAGTTTCTATAATCGCTGTAGTATATTAGTTTAAAAAAAATTCTTGTAAGAGAACTTTTTTTACAACACTAGCACTTCCAGAATTTTGGCTCAAGTTCGCTGTTTGTGGGTAAGGATTTCTGGCATCAAACAACCCACATTTGCGTAAAGGAATCGAAATTGGTGCATTCCACACCTGCATCCTCAGCGCAGAAATGATCCCAATTGAAATTCTCATATGCATCTTCTTACCACCTACCAAACTTGTACAACATTAAACAGTACCTCTGAATTTGCCATAGGAGCTATTGATTAAGCCTTATAAATAACTTACTGTGCTGAAAGGTACATTCTCCCCGCAATAATTTTTTAATTCTGTAATGAACAGAATTGTGGAAGTATACATGGAGGGAATATAGGTCATGAAAAACTTACAGGAAACAAAAGACAGGAGCTATAATATGGATTGTGCTAGATCTATTATGTTTGCACATTATTATATCCAAGAAAAAGGGTTATTAGGTTTATAATTGGACAGTTCTTGAACTTTAAGAGTTGAGGACGTTAGCCAACCACAGCTTCTTTGGTTACTGAGTACAAAAACCAATACGAATGGCAACAGCACAAGCTGTGTTGACACTTCTTTTTAATTTACTGGTCTACTTGGTTAATTTAAATGGATGGGCCATAGAGTTTAGAACAATAGGAAGCTCTATATCTTAAGAGAACAAGCTTCAACAGGAAATGAGCTTGTTTTTTGGTGAGAAAGGGATACCCAGTTGAAGCCTGATTTATTCTG